TATACTCAAATACGTCTAATATCTTAGGTCCGTTCGGCGCCCATTTGAGGTAGGAAAGAAGCCTTTCTCTCGTAGTCAAACAAATGAAAGATTATTGTTAGGTGATGTTTTCATCGCTCGGAAGTGAAGCGTTTTTCTAGAGACAATGAATTATTCACTGTAAATCTTGAGTGAGAGCAATTAGCCTCACTAGGGGTCATTTATCATATGGTCCGGGCTCTGCCTGTTCCTCTATAAGTCACTGTCATCTGTTCAATGTCCAGCCAGGCAAAAAATAGCAGATACTACACTGATAGAAGATTTTGTCAGGCATGCCTTAATTTTTGAGCATGTGAGAGAGAGACGAGGCTCTCGCCTGCCGGAACGTTCAGAGAAGACGGAATAAAAAATTATGTGAATAATTCGTTTTATTTTCCACGCTTAATTGTGGAAATAAGTTCTTAAATTTTTGCTTGAGGAACAATGGTATTAAAACGATGTCCGTCTGCAGTAACTATTAAAGTGAATTTTTTTATTACAGACTGTATGTTATCTACTGGTTTTGTGTCGCAAAAAGGAGTATAAGGATACATTTTCAAGTATAATTTACATAACGCGTTTAATTAAAACTATTTCAATTACATAGTTGCCGGATAGCCAAAATTATTCGTATAAAGTTAAATGTTGAGTTTAAAGTTGCTAATTTATCTGAGACTAATTTCCGTAAAGAAGACAATGTTTCCTGCAAAATTTTCATCGAAAATTCTAATATAATTTATACATGGCCTGTTCGACGACTGCTCAGTCATTTAGGTTCATACAAAGATTCAATCTGTCCATTTCTCTTCCAGTATTTGAGTCCCAGTCATTAATATTTTGAATATGAATGCAAGATCGCAAATTCTACGAAGTAATGAATAGAATGCTTCATATCTATGATGTTACAGCTCATCTGATAGCCGGAACATCGTCTTGCTAATTGAGCGAATCTCTTCAACATGTCCAGCTTTTGTTTACTTCAGAGAATCTTGTTTGTTTGTGCCAGAGCCACGAGCATAGAATAAGCTTTAAGCTCTTCCTAAATTGTTTTTATTAGTCAGTATTGAGTTTATAATGTCTCGTTGTACATTTCATTTCACTAAAGGCAGTAATAGCATGCCACGAAGTAATAGCGGTTTGACTTTATTTGAATATAAAAATTATCGAATTAATGAAGAAACATCTCAGTTGAACTTACTGCAAAAAAGAATGAAGCTTTTTTTGTCTTTGCCTGCTCAGAGTTTTCTTTGGGTCGAGTGTGTCGGCATCAAGCAGGGGTCATCCAGTGAGGAGTCATTCAGTAAGGACGCATCCAGCTAGTGAGGGGCATCCAAAGAGGGGACGTCGAGTGAGGGGGCATCAATTGTGATGAGGCATCCAGCGAGGGGTCGTCCAGCGAGAGAGCATCCAGTGAGAGGGCATCCAGTGAGAGGGCATCAAACAAGGGGACATCGAGCGATGTGCATCTAGCAAGAGGGCATCCAACAATCCAGCGAAGAGGCGTCCAGCGAGGAAGCATCCAGCGCATCCAGCGAGGAGGTATTCAGCGATGGGCATCTAGCGAAGGGGCATCAGGCGTAGGGGCATCGAACAAGGGGGCAATAACTTTGGTGTTTTAAAATTGTGTGGTTGCGACAACGAAATATAGGCACGACAATAAATTGCTTGCTTTAAACCTACAGCTCAATAAATTCATCTAGTCAACGGCAAGCAGCAGTGTAGGCAGACTGCATAATTTTTCTCGGAAAATAACTTGGTCGTCGGAGGGGACAAGCATCAGAACATGTGACGTGGCACGCATGTTTCCAACGTTACACGCACGTTTCCAATGTTATGCCAGCAAACGTTAAAGCTAGCAAAAAACATCAATTTAGGGCCACTCTCCAAGGAGTTTGGTGGAGTTCATTATTTGACAGCCGTGAGCACACAACCGTTACAATTTTATTGGTCTCACGATGCATCGCTTTACTTGTTCCGGTCAAGTTTAAGAACGATGAAGTATTTATTCACATAAAAATAACAGCGCAGCAATAACTTTCTGAGCAACAATTCTGTGATCAATGTGCAGTGTTGTTAAGGTCGTTTCTCTAACTGCGATTAGGCCATCATTAAAAATTTTGATGCTTAAATAAACGTAATTCGTCTATATAAAATATCTACTGCTTAAGCATAGTGTGGTCAATCTGGCCATGCTAATTCGATTGGCTGACGAGATATTTTCGTGAAAATTTTTCATGCTTTTGTATTGAAATAGTATTTTTAAACCCCTGCTTTGTAGTATTTCTTGCCAAATTTACGTATCGAAGAACTGAAACTAAATTTAAACGAGTAAGTCAACAACAAAGCCTGATTGTAAAAATTTCCATGAGACCAAATATAATTTGTAGAGCTTTGTTGACCTAAGGTGACAGTATAAGTACCTCTTCTTTATACGTTATTTGGCATTAAGTAACCAATAATAATTGATTGTATAACATTCATTAAGAAGAATTTGCGTGGACGTCTTCGCTACCTGGACCCAAAACGACGTTGTCAAACCTAACTCCATGGTTTCATTATTATGACGAAAATTCGATTCTCGGAAATCAGAGAAGTTATTCTTATAATCGTTGTAAGCATTATTATTCTTTGGTCTCAAAACCATCACAATTAATTGCACATATTTTATTTATAGCACATATTTTAAGCTGCACGACGGAGAAGCGCGTTAAATCATTGCTCAACCTTCGGCTAAACTTATATCAAATGAATAGCTTTGGCAGCGTTGTGATGATTTATATAATGTTTGTTATAGTTTGCAGGATTTTGCCTATCAAACATTCTTTTTATAAATTAACCGTAAAATCTTTCCTGAAAAAATTTCCGTTATCCACACATCTTTCGTAAGATCAAAACTCTGATCGAAATCTTTAGATTTCTCTATGGCCACTCAAAACTTCGAATGGAAGGTCAAAATTTTTATTAAGCTGCTTAACATGAATTTGTATGCTTTTCTGTTCAATTGTGAGCCACATACGCAGAAGCTAAAAAATGAATTCAAATTGGCTGATTATAAAAATGTAAAAAACTTATTAACACAAACACTATTATATACTTAAGCATAATTATAATTCCATTGGCAAAAGATCAGCTATAGACATGGTTGTTCAAACTTTGACTTTTTATCTGCCATTTTCGCTCGTGATTTTGGTTTCGATCAGAGTAATTATGTTAAAAGAAAAATAATTTTGATGACTCTTCCTACATTTTTTAGAATATTGAGTCTTTTTTAATGGGTCCAATACAGGATTATAAACGAAAATAATATGGCAAAACGAAATTCAAATTACCCACATTATACGAGCCTCGTTTGACATCAGACATTAATTTTCTGAACGAACGCATTAGGCTTTATGTTATCATCAGTTGTTTATAGCGCTCTATTCTATTTCAATTTTTATGCCACCAACTATTGTTATAGATTCTCTCTAGAACAAATAATGGCCTTATTAATAATAACAAATGTTCCTCGCTGACGTTCCTGTATATCATTAACTCTATTATGTCCTCTTAAATCTCATATGCAGCATTACGCCACACAATTAAAGGCAGTCGTGGAGAAAAACAGCGGAATTAAAAATTCGCAACGAGTACAATTATTAGCTCTATGGCGAATGCTAAGGGCATGCGATCCTGTTGGTTAATATCACTAAATGAGCTTCTAAATTGATAATCTACTCCGGTACTGGGTTACAGGCACTAAAATTCGTCACAAATTAGACAATTTACAATTAAGCTGAGCCGACGCCAACATGAACGGAGCTCTAGTTTCGTATGCTTTCCTCACAGCGCAGGAGACGCACAGATATATTGGATAAAAAAAAACACCAAGAAAAACGTGATGAATTGGCCTTCAACTTTGTGGAGTATGCTTTTCTTAGAAGCAAATTTCATGCCATCACCAGGATGATTCAGCCTGAATTCAAGGATATTTTACTGGCTCTATTACCTCAGTTTTCCCGTTCACTAGAAGTCGACTGTATATCTCGGGTTTTTTTCTATACCCAAGTTCTCACTATGTACCGAGTAGCTCATTTCAGATGCGGCTCGGAGAGTAACGACCCAACACCCTGCTTCATTACACAGTATCATCCTTCATTTATGCCAGAAAACAATTGTACCTATGAAGACATCATTTGCAAGACTCGCGGGCTCAGCTCCGTTTTCTTCACTCTCATGGTACGAACTTGATTTAAAGCTCTTATAATTGGAGGTTGAGTTTGTGCGTTCTGATTTAGACGGTTCTCAAGCAGCAGTTTGTGAAGAATGTCTATGAGAGCAACTTAGCTAGCCGTGCTACATGCTCAGTTAAGGTCGACTACAGGTTCATGAATTTTAAACTGCAATAAACTAAAAATCTATTGTGCTCGATTCAATTATAGTGTCAATAACCGTTCATTTGAATTAAATTATTAGCTAGCTTTTGTCGCCGGTGGCCCTTCGCGCTTGACGTGTGTGGTGAACAGTCGAGGTATTGAAGCGCTCTTGCGACTCATGTACTTATTACCTGGGTATTATTAAACCGCTGTACATCTTCACAGGAAAGTTGTAATTAGTGAAGGTCGTGCTGCTCCTAATATCGCACCGCAGTTACTCATAATCTTCAGCTTTTCAAATTGTTGTGTCTGTGAATGGTTCTTGTGAGCTTTGCTTGATTTCCTTCACTGCTTTACTGTTCTCTTGAAATAAATATAAGATTTTCCACTGATGGACACTGGCGTGAAATTTTGCATTCGATTTAATTTTTTAAGCAAAGTCCGTGCGCTTCGTAAGACACAATCCGTCTCTTACTTTAATTACGTATATGAGTCCAGTTGTGAATTCTGTTACTGAGATTCCCGAATAATAAGAGATTAATACAGCCGAACTAAAGTACATAATGGAAGTCTCCCGAGAGGTTACATTATCATGGACAAGGGGTATAAATAAAAAATACGAATAGTAATTTCTCACAAATTATTTTATTGTAATGAAACTATCAAGCATGGTTAAAAAATGGAACAGAAGAAATCAGAATTTGTAAAATGAATTATGGAAAATTCACTAAATGATCCAAAAGATTTTAAGTGCGACGGAATTTATGCACGTCAAGCTTATGCAAATTTTCTCAGCAATTTTATGACTGAAAATTTTAGAACTTGAGTTAATATCACAATGTATGACAGAGTATTCAACACTATATAACAAAACATTAATATTAAATAGAAATTCGATGCATACATTATAAATTCTCACGAAATTTACTTGCTTTAAATTGACCATGGAATATTTGGAGGCTTATAAGAGGTACGACGACAAAGTAGTCTATCCTAGAACGAATTGCTAATTCATTGAAATTCATTAAGAAGATCACTTATTTCCATGGACTAGAGTCAATTCAGCCCAGCGTTTTCTATTAAGACGTAATAACCATCTATGCTCTGCGGTACTCAGTTACATTCATGATAAATTAGGACCCGCGAATGAGACACTTTACGCAAAATTCAACAATATTTAACACAGTAGTCGTTAATAATGTATACAATTATTGTCGCTCTAAATAGACCAATTGGATAAAATATAATATACATGAATGCATTCATTTGCATTCACGTTGTATACATGAATGGACTCCCCTCGAACTGCGAAAGACTTCGAATTTCGCTTTAGTTTTAGAAAAATTATAAGGAAGTTTACCTAAGCTCAGAAAATAAATAATTTCTATTCTTATTTCATGCATAACGCATCATATTAAATAGTAAATGAACGTTGCCATCACACTGCGAGATCATCCATCCATCCATCCATCCATCCTGGAGGAGTGGTGGAGGGCTTCCAACATCCACTGAACTTTCGCTGGCATCGACGTCACCTAGAGGGATCAGAAAAATATTCCAAAATAATTTCAAATAAAATTTTCTGCAATCTCTAGATAAATATAGAATTCAAATCTGACAGGAGTTGATACGCGTTTTCTGTTCGTTCCATTTATGCGTTAAAGAAAACGAGTGAAGAGTAGAACATATTGTGATTTTTCGAGCCGGCTGCTAAATTTATCTTTATTTCTCAGTCCGCTTCCGGATTTCTTCTGCATTAGTTTCCACATTGGTTAGAATTTTGTGGCATATTCTTTCACGATCAATAAGCCCCGTTCAAAGTGCACCGTGCACACACTTTTTAGCTAATCATTATTCCGAAACTGGGCTAAAACAATAATTATTTATAGGTTTTTCTTAAGAAAATTAAGTTTTCTCAAAAATTTATTGCCGAAAAAATTTGACGCATGATCAATTAATTATCAAATGGCTTGAGCAACAAAACTTATCTGTGGCTAAATGAAACAACAGAGCATCCACAAGTGTTAGTATATTAATTCTCATAAAATTATGAACGGTAAATATAATCCAATCCTTGGTGTTCAAAGATATATATATATATATAGATTTTTTTGTTATTCTGTTACGTAACTTATAATTTCATTTTATTATTTATAGTTGAAATTTTATGTTATTTCAATCTGATTTATACCTGTTAATTTGAATCCCAGTTGAAGTTTTGATCAGAGCTTATGTCGTTCCACAAGATAATTTCTTCGTCGTTATGTTGCTGATCGTCGGAGTTTGGCTGTAGCCGGGGTCCGGCTACAGCGCAGGACGAGGCATCGGCCGCTTCTCTAGCCAAGAATGTGTCCAAAGAAAAGTCCGCCCCGGCTGCTGCCTCATCGCTGCAGCTGGTGTTCTCTTTTGACTCGAATTTCACATCCCAAGCGCTGTTTTTTTTATCTTCTGACTCAAAATTCATGTTTGATAAACTGGTGTTATTGTTGAACTCGTGTGGGGCCAAATTTGGTCGGCCAACTGATGATGATGCTGAGGTCTTCTGATGCGTGCCATCATTCATCAGATTATCTTTCTCGGACTCCTTTAGCATGTTTGAGAGCGCTCGGATGTACGACGAGGCCAGCTGCAACGTCGTAATTTTTGTCATTGATGCCATCTGAGCGGTAGCAAACCTAGGCAGCACTCCTCTCAAGGTGGTGAAAGCGGAATTAATTTCGCGCATTCGTTCTCGCTCTCGCGCATTGGCTGTGTTTCGTCGATACTTTGACAAAGTGACTCGATTTGCCATCCGACAACGACTGCCCTTTCGTGACCCGCTATTTGATACTATGTCAGCATCTCCTTCGCTCCAGCATTTCCTCAACCTTTGTCGCGGCCGCAGACTGTAAGATGTTAGAAACTGGTATTTACCTTTCCACCTTTGAGCGCTCGAAAGCCCGGCGTAGCTGTCGAACTTCCGATCGCTTACTTTTACGAGACAATTCCCCACGGAGTCTGAGTCGTAATCCAGTTTTAAGCATTTGTTGCTGCCATCATCCGAGTCACTATCACAACTGTCGTAGCTTCTTTTCCGTCTCCTGAAAGTCGTGATCTCGGGCTCACTCGCATTTGCTTGAGACGATCCGCTCAGAGCAACATGACTCGAATCTTTTGGAGGAAGCGGGAGCTCCGTCTCCCGAATTATATGTCCACCAATATTTTCACTGGAAAGCTCCATTATGATCGCAGGTTCAGGTTTTGTAGATTTTGTCACTTGTTTTTCATTAGCTTGTAGCCTATAAGAAATATTTCAGTAATTTATTTCCTCACTACAATACTGCACGACTCCCTTACGTCGCTGGGCACAAAACACGCCAAAATCACTGAGCGAAATAATGTCCAAAGCTTGAAATGTCGACCAGATGTTCACCGGATGGGAATGAAAAGCTTTCCCTGTTGCCCGGCGAGCCAGTCTCTCACCTGCGCAAGCTCGGCTCCTGATCGAGTGTGTGTGCTGCAGGAGTCGGAGAGCCAGACTGGCGGTTGCTCGCTCAGCCGACTGACTCTAGTGACCTGCGCCTCGAACACCTGCAGCCTGTAACCTGCGGTCCACGCCCCGTGACCTGAACCGCAAGCTATCACTCGAACCATCACATCACGCGTCTAGTGTAACCACCGACTCACCGTTCTTGGGCACCAATGAATTACCGGTGCTTGGTGAAAACCCTTCGGGGTCGACTTCTCTCGCTCTGACTGACGTGACATATAAGGACAATCAGTCCAGGTTGATAAGTGAGGTTCAGGTTACCAGAACTGGAATGCTCTGCGCTTGGGGCTCAACGATATGCGGATAGAAAACGAGTCTCAAGACAAGCTTGGGCGAAAATGAATACACCAACATATATTTTATTTCGACGTAGAAACTTCGATCACTCTGACGGAAAATGAAATGGAATTTCTTTAGGAGCGGGTAGTGTCAGCATCCAACTCAATAATGAATATGTAGATTAAATTAGATGCGGGCATGCAGGCTAGTCTTTTTTCCTGCTGGGAATTGATGAGACGTTTTGTCTGACCAGCGTCACAAGCGAAGACTTCAGAGTCATGTTACCCCACAAGCCTTCATGCCTGCCAATAATTGTCCGAGTTCGTGTGATTCAACAAAGAAAGCCTCCAATTACCCGCCGCAAGAGACAATCACATTGCTCACGTGAATTGAATGTCAAAAATTTATCGAATTCTTGTAAACCAAACGAAAAATTGGGTGGCAAGTAATCCCGTGGCAAGCTTTCGTAATCGAGAGAGCTCTAACGAAGAAAAATTTAATATCATTGAATTAAAATCATGCCCAACTACTCGTAATAAAAATTCAACTAAGCAGTTATTCTATGCTGGACTTTATTGACAGATTTCATGAGGCTAACAATGTTTCATTCAAATCTTGAAAATATAACGAATTGCTACCTTGAAATAGGTTCCCGTGAACGACACTGCACATTACGGCATTTCACTGCATGTCACTACATGCATAACGGCATTTATCTCGGCATATCAAAGCACATCAATTCATATCATGGTATTTAACTCCATATCACTAAATATCAGGAATAACTACACATATCATAATTGCAATGTTGATAATGCTTTCAAATTAGTATAAGTTAATTTAGAAGTCCATGACAGCTTTGGAAACAGCTTTCCGAGACATAAGTCAGTCGTGGACCTGAAACAGTTACTGCTTAATTAGCATAATATATTATAATGGAGCTGACATCGATGCTCGAAAATAACCTACAGCGCCATGCTATTTATAAACTGCTAATTTAAAAATCAGGATGTGATTATTATTAATTAGTCAAAATAGATTACTATTGATATGTCTGTACCATAAGATTGAATAATGGCCCCTCGTTTCGAAAACCAGACCCATTATTCAAGAGGTTACATTGCGTTGAGTTCGGGGATGCAAGAGTACCCACAATCCACGCCGACAGAAGAACGCCAAATGAAAGGCACAGTGTTGTGGTCAAGAATTAATTGCAATTGGAGCATTTGTCAGGAAGATCGATACGCACGATCGCCGACCAAATTGTTGTTTCCGATTAGGGTATCAGCCTCTAGGAACTGTCATCCATCTGTAATCTGCGCATAGTTCGGCATATGCTACTTACTTCAATCTCAATGGAAATAGATCAGTTGTCATTAGTGTGCAGATTGCTTCTATTATTTTGCCTTTAATTTATGACCCGCAAACTTTACTTGGTGTTGTGGTTGATGCTGTCCTGTGAGAAGACCGCCTTCCAAATCTCATATGTGAAGCGATTAATCTGAAAAATGATTCATCCAACCAGTGATGAATGTAAGCGCTGCTTTCATGAATTTATTCTTGGGTTTCGATGTCGGGAAGGGAGGAAAAATCTATAGGGAACAAAAGCTCATAGGGTCAACGGACGAGGCCTCAGGCGTATTTCAAAGCTCCCAATTTATCAGGACCGAGCCTCTCGTGTGTATCGGCAAGAATTTTTAAAAGTTCTTCTCGAAATTAATACCTAGTGGCGTTCCTCCGTCGCGTTAGTGCGTGTAAACTAATTACGTAACTTTTATCGAGATTTCACTGCAGGTCATGCTACTCTATCGGCCTCTGCATCATACGAACGCATCACATCGTACTCGAGAGCAACGATTCTGAGTATATTGTCATACTTTCCAGCGACTCAGACTTGCTGAAGTTGACGGAATCGCTTTAACTTTCAGCCTGAGACTGGCTGGAATCGATACGTTTATTTGTTATTTTTTATCGTTAATTTCCCTTAGTTAGATTAAAAAAATTAATGCAAATTTAGGCTGATCCTGGATGTCTGGTGCATCTTAGTCAGATTCTTAGAGGACGATTGGATTATATATTTTCTGAGTATATTTTGAAATAATTTACCAGGAATGATATGAATAATTGAAAGTCTAAGTGTTGGATGAATTTGTTGCTAGTTCAATAACATTGAACGCCGCGTAATATTGAAGTTAGTTTACATGAATATTTTCTTTACGTGCGTGAGTGTCACGCATAAGTTGAATGCCCAGCCCTTTCCTACGTGAGTAGGTGAAGTTCCTAGAATTTCCATCAATCTGTCATATGTTCAAGAAGTAATCTTTGACACATCCGACGTAATAATATGCTGGGAAAATAAATAAGAAAATTTTTTTATCATTAGTCATGCACACGTGACGTACAATGCATCATAAATTAGCTATGCATTTCATGCACCAAGCCTACATTTAAACAAATGAAAGGTCTTTGGATATACACGGGGTAAACTACGGTAACTTGATTCACAAAAATGCATGAAGTTTCTGTACTTAGAAGTAACAATTTATGACTGCTGCCTGAATAATTATTAAATAATGTAAATTAAAGGCTTTCTTCAGATTATTCGGCTATAATTAATAGTGCTAGGAAGTGGGGCTAGACAAGCTCGGTAAATATGAATATGTGTTTTAGGTGTTCGTGCGTGACACCTCGTGACATTGCGTGGAAGGTGCGTGCAGATACCACGGAAGAAATATGAACGACACACGTCATCTTTTGGCCCTAGGTTGTTTCTTCTATTGTCAGTGCATAGCAATTTACTTGCTTCTTTGACAAATGATGTGTAGCTGCCAGTGGCACCATGCATGCACTTTCATGTTATTTATGATCAGGGTTCGCAAATAAGCGGTATTTTTGCTAGAACTGCTATCGAATGAATTGGTTTTTAAGTTTTGAAATCGTCGACAGGAAAACCTTAAATACTATTATTTTGTGCTTTTAACAATGGAATTAGTACCTAATAGTATTAGATTATTCGCTGAAGATTGCCTCTAAGTTACATATAAAATTATTTAACCTTTTACTAATGCAGATTTTTCAAGTGATGAGTTTAAATTATTTATTATATTTTGATGCGTTTAGAGTTATCTCGAGTAATTCGATTCTGGTCTACACGAAATAAACTTCTTACTACTGCCGGCACATGCTAAAGTTGCAACCACAACAAATTTCAAAGCTGCAGGCCATTTTGAGCGGAGCTGGTCACCAGCCTGCTGATTTTTAGGTGCTAATCTTTCTTTGAACTCTAATATTGGCCTGCCTTTTGCAGAAAAACGTATACAGCCAGGGCCCATGTCATGGTAAAGCGAGCACCGCTTTCAATGAAGACTTTACCGCCGTGTCATCGCGGGATGAGAGGTCCGTAACTCTGTTATACCTCAGCCCGAGGGTAGACTGGACATGACGTTTATAATGGTCGTCGTCTGTAACACCTTAACATCGCCCCCTGAAAAATACGCCTGACAATTTTTCGACCACCGCTCTGATGGTTTTTCAAGATTAGCTCTATTGTCACCGCCTATTATTTTTCTCGTGGCTTGATTAAAGTAGTGAATAGGCGTTTGTTTATTGCCTTTAAATGAAATTATAAGGTCGATATGATATTCTCAAGCTTTGAACATACATTTTCGGAATTGCATGGGGATGATATTTTTAATACATTGGATTCATCTATTTTTATCTAGGAATAATTTTTTCGATTTCTTTCTTTCTTTCTTTTTAGCGCATTTTCTCATTTGTGGAAAAAAGATGCTATTGTGCTCGTCATGTCCGTCCATCCGTCTGTCCGTGACTTCATGGGTGGACGATAAAATGCGCTCTCGGTCACTCACTTCAGTGAGTACTAGCTGATCTAATTTTTTATGAACACTGCGCCTTAAATATGCAGGGGATATTCAGCCGCATATTCGCGCATTTAGGATATTAATCATATCGGGATATTAAATGGGACTGAAATTTCATTCTTAATAGCCAAATGGTGGAGGTATCACGAAACGGATCGAAGGGGGAGGGGAATTCTGAATAAACAATTGAATGTTTGTTCTATTTTGCATGCATGAATCGTATTAATTAACAATTTTTTTATTCCTAAACGAAGGTTAAATGAGACTTGCGTGTTAATGTTGGTCGGAATGAGTTTGTCCTAACTTGAAATTAGTTTCTTGTGGCAACACTATTAAGCGAAACGGTTTTAAAGAGAACGAGATCGAGATCACCTACTACAGTTTAAGTAGAGGAATTCTTTAATAATCCCTAAACTCGTGAATACACGAAAAAAGGCAGTTATTTCATAAGTGATTATTCTTTGCAAGTAAAATGTAAACTACTGATCTTAAAAATCATAGCATTCTGTTTTAAAGTGATGAATTAATACAACTTTTAGTCCTCGTAGCCAGTGAACTGGTGAATGCCTGGAAGCGAACCTCTGAAGGTAAGTAAGAATGTGAACTCCTGATTAATGTGAACCCTGGAAGGGACCTGCGAGTCAGGAGCCCGAGGTGAAGGGACATCACGTGAAACTCAGTTCATCGATATCATCTCATGCATTTCCATACGTCCAGTTCGCATCTCATCAGTATTGACGCTGGTCTTATCTGATGGCTCTCGCTTGCTCTTTTTTCCATGGCTCAATGAAAAGCGATCCGCACGACGCAGGTGTGTTGGACCACACTGCATTC